TTGTTAAAAGCGCCTACCTTTTTTCCAGAAAAAATATCTCGCCACGCGATGTATTGAAATGCATTTACAGTTATGTCGCGAAATGCTTTGAAATACATTTCGCGACGCTAATGCATTCAATTTCGAGGGCGCGGAAATGCATTTCAATACATATTTTCGCTACATGAAGAACCCCATTAAGAATTGTCCTGAATGAAAATTAACAGAAAAATAAAGCAACGAAACAACAGAAAAATAATAATTTAACCTCGTAAAGGCTGCGAAGTGACATAGTTACAAAATGTCCGACTACAAAACATCTTGCTACAAAACGTCCCGGGCCATTCAGGTTGATGAAAGAAAGAGTATAAACCAATTAATGTTGACTGTGCCCTGGAGACTATTCTTCTTCGATAGAGAATTGAAAACTCACTTTTTGCCATCGCTTTCACTCTGAGCCATTAGCTGATGAGTGAGATCTTGGTTCCGACACTCTGCTTCAACCAACGACAATTTTGTTTGAGCAAGGTCTATTTCGAGTGACCTATAAAAATTTAAAGGTGAATTGTGACTGATGGAAAAATGTCACTTGATATGATCCTCTCTTTCTTCCAACTTTGTCAACAGGTCGAGACCGATGGGTGTGGACGCGGTGTGAACCGGGCTCCGATTTTTTTCCCATTCACAAACTGATGGCCAGCATTTGTCACACTCAGAGATTCTGGCCTGAAAAATAACAGTGGAATACAGCGTTTTCAGAAATAAACCAGTGAAGCACTTACAATGATAGCCTTTTTCTGCACCTCAAAGTTCTCTCTTTCACTTTCAGCACGTTTACTTCTTTCCGAGAACAATTTTTTATATTCTGCTAGTAGTTTCTCAGCTCTTGAACCGTTCTCCTCCAATCTCAACACATCTCGTCTATACATCTCTTTTATCTGCTCATATTCTCTCAACAAATTCTTATTTTCTTCTAGAATATCTTGGTTTTGTCGTGTAAGTCGTTCGATAGTGTTGGCTGATGTTTCAATTTGATCTTCGGCAACATCCAATTTTTTACGGAGTTCAATCTTGCTAGTGACAAGTTCGTGAGCCAAATCGTCATTTTCTCGTTCTAGTCGTAGCGTGTTGGCTAGGTGACGGCCGATTTCTTTCTGCAAAGTCAAAACAAAGTCAATTTCAGAAGATTTCACAGCTCACCTCCATTCTCAAAACCGGATCTTCATTTTCTCGCTCTTGTTCCTTGATACGTTATATTCTTTCTCATAAACCTGCAGTTTGCTGTGGTTCAGTCGAAATTTGACTGCTTTGTGAATCAAACACTTGGTTGCAGCTTCAGTACGATACTTTCTAGGCAGAGAGACACGGAAATATCTGAAAGCTGTACATGAAGTAAGGAATGCATATTTGGATGCATACTTGAGAGTTCCTTCAAAATCCAACTGCAACAAGTCGGTTTTTGCGTCATGAAGCAAGGCGAGAGAAATGTGGAAAATTGTGTTCATTCCCTGAAAAATCAGATAAAGTGAAAAGAGGACTAAAAAAACTTTTTTTGTTCATACTGTAGTCAAAAACTTGAAAAATTTGATAAATGCTCATTTGTTAAAAAAGGGTGNNNT